TCGAGAAATATTTACTTTCTTGGCTGGTGTTGGGAAAGTGAAAACAAATTTCTAATCTTCACGATCCGAACGTTGCAGGTATAAAATAATATAAATAAACAATAAATATTAACTGTCTCTAATTTTTTATCTTGGAAGAATCCTCACACACGTATTCACGAACGCAGTTTGCCTCTCTTCTCACTAACCTTCCATTTCGGTTGCAAGCGTCATCGCGAGGATATCGATGATGCATCCTAGGATCGTGATGATGCTGCGGCGAGTAAGAAGGATTCTGCGGCTGCGAGCTGGCTGCAGCCACACTCGACGTTTCAGAGTCGTAACCGCTCGAGCCACGGGTCCACAGCGGTTCGGGGCAGTCGTAAAGATGATTCGGCGTGGGTCGTTGCACTATCAAGTCGAGAACGGCGGAGCTTCTCATTACCTCGATGGCTCTCTCGAATGGAAGATCCGTGAGACGTTGACCGTTGCACCAAATGATAACGTCGCCGGCTTTTAAGCCCGCTGCTCTAGCTGGCCCGTCGTCCCTGGTACCCTAAATGAATGTCACTTGATTAATTCTCGATCGTCTGTTCTAATTTCCACGTTGCAATTTCGACGAGAGAATTCGACTCTACTGCATCGAGATTGAAGCTTTTAATTGAAGTTCAACACGAAACGAAGAGTCATTGCGAAATTACTACTGAATCGTCAGCGAGAAACCATAGTTAACCTGAACAGTAAGGCCTGGCACGATGCCTCTGCAAACGCCACACCCGAGGCGACCCTTCTCGCCGACGAGAATTCGAATCCTGACTTCGGTGCTCGGAACGGCACCCAAACCAGTTTCGTTGTATTGTAGCTGCTGCTGTTGCTGCTGCACCATGTGCCAAGTGACCGGATCGTTCGGGTTGCTTTGCGAATCATAAAGTACTTTTATAACGAGGAAACACTCCTCGAACGGGCGCGAGTGCCTCGCGGAATTTTTAATGAGCGATCGGTACTTACTCTTTCACAGGTATCATTCCCACGCCTGAAACAACAAAGTACGAGCAGTCAGTTCGTGTTGTTCGTGTACATGTTTCTGTAACTCGGGAGACTCGGGAAAGAGAACAAGGCAAGAAAAGGAGAAGGAAAAATTGTAAGCAATTACTTCGAATCTTGAGAACGAGCACTTGCTGGTTTTTTGCCAGTAGCGCCACTTCCTGATGGACGGCGTCCTCCACCGGATACCCATTCACCCTTATGATCTGATCACCGACCTGAAAGCGAAAAAAAAAAAAAAAAAAAATAGTGAACAAAGTGAAACTGAAAGTAAAGTACACGGTTAACGAAACAGAGCAGAAACCGAGCCGCCCTTTCGTAACCACGAAATCGATCCCTATCTCTTGACTGAATGTTACACGAATTAGACAATCAGTGAAAAGAAGAAAAAATTTTGAAATCGCTGTGTGTTTCTCTCTAGGAATTGAAGAAAAAACAAGAAAAAGAAAATTCTTTGCCCCTTTCGAAACTCGTTTATCTTGGAGTAATTTCTCATGGAAAATCTTTCTGCAGATACACTGATACGCGGTTGTCTGTAGAGTATACGACTACAACTTGGGAAATTTACCCTTAATCCATTTCGGTGAGCCTCGCTGCCAGGTTGCACGTCGCTGACGTAAAATCCGGCTGCATACTCTCTGCCACCACGAAGGGAGAAGCCAAATCCAGATGCTCCACGCCGTCTCAGTCTGACATTCCTGGTCACACCGATGACGGCCATCCTGCCGCCTCCTGTTGGGTTCCCAGGACCTCCACCGGTCGATGGAACCATGCCAGCACTAGCCGTGCCGGATGCACCACCCGACCTACGAAAACCAATTTAACTTCAATCTCATCCTAGAGTTGATTTTGATTTAATTGCTCGGTAATTAACGAGGTACAAGCTACTTGAAAATGAGGTGGATCCAGTTGACATAGATCGAGTTAGTACGGGTACGTCATCGTCATTACATCGAGTATTGTTCGGCGAATCGTATTATGCAGCAGGCCAGGCGGAAACTGGAGCGCGAATCAGATTTAACCGAACGAATTCGCGCGACTTTACAATTTTCTTCTGGATTTCAGCCGCGTTAACGAGCCTCTTCTTTCTCGTTATGTAAAAGCGAGCAACGTGTTGTTACTTTCTCGGTATTATCCCAATGCTTCGTCACACGCTCGGCGAAGTCACACGAGATCAGAGTCTCTGTTCGCTGATAACTGTGATTACTTGCAACGAGCAGAAATTCTAGTTGTGCCTGGCGATATCGCAATGTGATATCGATAATGCGTCGTGAGTAGAGTTTACAGAAAATTCCAAGCTCTAAGCGTTTTACGCGTTTATACGTTGTACCGAAAAATCCAACGGGCAAACTCTAAAAATGTTTGATTTCTATGGAGTTGAACGTGTGTACCATCGAATATAATATATACCGGGTATTGATTGCATGTTTGTGGTGGGACTGTCACGCGTCTGGGATACCTTACGGCGGTGGTGGACATGGTTTAAGCGCTTTCCATTGATTTCCGTCTCCTCTGGATTTTACTGCTGCCCAGGTAATTGCATATCCTACACGTTTATACGTTTTCCTGTAAATTTCCTTCCCGAGGAATTCACGATTCACGTGCAAGGAGAATGCGAACTAGAAGATTGGTGTTAGAATTTGAAAATTTCACCGAAAACCCATTGATCTTGTTGGGAATGGGAAATGATTTTGCCCGGCCGATTCTTATACTTACATTCTTGAAAGTATTTTCTAACATGCGCGGTAAAATCCACAGGAGGAACAATTAAAATCACGGACAAAGCGTCTCTGTTGTTGAGGACGGAGAGCAAAACGGCCGGAAAATTTGTGCACGGCTTGGAAAGAGGAATTACAGTAATTCCGTGTCAACGACGCGGCTCACCTTCGCGAATAATTGTCGTACAAAAATGCTCGTTCCAGTCCGCGGTCGGAGAGCCGCGCGCGGTTCCAGACTGGAAGCAATCTTTGTTCGGATCTCGCGGTCTTTTTCCGCAGCGCGCTGCGAAATTAATGGCCACACCTGGCGCTCCATTGGCCTGCGCAATCGTGGAAGAAGGAACGACGAAGCGGAGGAGTCGAGGCAAATTCCACGACGAAAAAGACGAAAGATAGAAAGGAGCCGTGTGGGTAGGGTGGGGCAGGCGGGTGAAACAAGAAAAGAAAGACACTTTATGCTCCCTAATGACGCCGGGAATCCGTCTTGTCTCGGACATTGAAAAGATTACGTGCAGTATGAAGGGCCGTCGTAGGTTGTCGGCTGCAGTGGAACACGCGGATGACACCAGGTAAATGACAGTCATTAGAAAGAACGAGACACTAGTTTAAAACTACTCCGCCTAGCTGGAGGGTCTCTGACTCGTGCCTTCTTTTTCCTCCATCTTTGCCCCACCTGGTTGTCGTTCGTGCTTCTTCCTTTTCACTCTTCTTGAACGTTACCGAAGGCAAAAGGGGAATTCCACCGTCTGCTCTTTCCTACGAACCTTCGGGGCTCTT